TTTCTTTTAATAAAAGCAAATTTTTTATTATATTTATTATTATTTAGCAATGTAATATTTTATAAATTTTAAATAATTTAAAAAATTTATGTTTTAGATTTTACTGTTATTTTTTATCTTAATAATTTAATCCTAATAATTAAATTATAATTTTTGTTTTTATTATTACTTTTATAAAAAATGTAATGTATATTGTAAATTAGAAAAATATTATTCTTACAATTGATCTCTAGTTCTACGAATAAATTTTCTATTTAATATAGTTATAATTGAAATACATAATAAGTATTTGTAAAATAATATATATTCACATAATAATTTAATAGAACATTTTATTTTATGCATATAATATTCGAATAAATAAATGAAATTATAAATGATTCAATGTTTTTAATACTTTTTCAAGTCATATAGAATAAAAAAAAGATATAAATTAACTTTGAATGACAGATATATATTTATAAAATATGTTGGAAAAATTGAAGTATTGAATACATTGATAAATCAAATGATTGAAATTTTTAAATATGTACACAACTATGATTAAAAAATATTTTTGTCCCCCTATTATTTAGAAGTGTTATTGTTATTTAAAATCATAATTAAAAAAGATATAATCATCTTTATCTATTAATTTTAATTTAATTTGTAAAATATTATATTTTCCAAATAATATAATACTTATATATTTTTCATTAAAATAGATATATATTTTGTACTTTGACGTTAATCATTTTAACACATGAACTTTTATTATAATAATTACTTTTATTATAATAATTATAACTAATAATTATAATACTTCTATTATTAAATAATATATAATGCATCAATGAATTTGCAATTATTTTAAGTAAGTATTTGAAATGAAGTCTAAACCTCGACACTTGTCAATGAATATTTTTATTTTAAAATTAGGTGTTAAATAAATATAAAGCGTAGTTAAATTTTATTAAAGTACATAAGTGATCACTTTAATTTATCATATACTATTTAATTAACAAATTAGTTTTTTTTTATTTGATAATAAATATAATTTTATTCGAACGTGTAAGAAATTTTTTATATTTTAAAAGCTTTGAATAAAAATAAATTAAATAATTATATTTTTATTGCATTATTTACAAAGTTGATTGAAATTTTAAATAAGCCGGTTCATGTAATTTTTCCAGCTTTCATCTTAGTGCTGATGCGAATAAGAATGTATCTCATTAATAATGTAAATATTTAAGATATTCCAATGTATTTAATATAAATATACAACGAAATATTACACAGAATCAATATTATTTTATTATTTTATTAAATATTGCATAATCATTTAATACACCATGAATTATTATATTTATGCATATATAATGAAATATATCATTATATGTGTACTTGAAAGATTTATATAAACATTTTTTAAAAATACACAATATTGCGAATGAAGTTCTTTTATTACGAATATTTTTATAACTTTATATTAAAATCAATTAGCGGGCTGAATTTAAAGTCCGAACTAATTTTGTCTATTATAGTATTAAATTTAAGTTTAATAGGAATAAATGTTAATATAATATTGTTAAGAAGCTTGTAGAACTTAAGCGCCCACTGTATTAAAATGGTTTGGATAAATTTTATTTGGCAAAAAATATATAATTAGGACAATATGCACATTTTCAAAATATTGAAGAATAATCGATCTGATGTTTACTTATAATCATTTAAAATCTTTTCAGTCTAATAAAATGATCAAATTACTTTATTTTATTAATAATATATAAAAATAACGAATAGAAAAGAAGGAGTTAATTTATTATAGAATTAAATATGATTTAAATAGTAAATATCTAATTGTTTATTATATTAATATTATGAAACTTAAATATCCCGCATACGTGACATTAGTAATATCTCAATTACGTAAGGTTTTAGAGATATATCTTATATTTATAACTTTATAAAGATAATAAATTTTTAATCATTAAGCTGGTTTTTACATTTGCGGTTTTTATTTTATTTATTTCTTGGTTTTTACGTTTTTACAAATTTGTGTATGCATAATACTAAATAATACAAAATGTCAATTTATAACTAGAAATTATATTAAAAAATATTTTCCTTATAAATAATCTAATCTAATATTCAGCATTATTATAATTTTTAACTTACTGTTTTTATGAAACAAAATTATACGTCAATAAATCATATTATTCGAAATTAGAATTTTATTCATTCTTATGAAGTAAACATCTGTAATAATATTTAAAAACGATGTATTTATTATTTTAACATTTATATAGTTATTACATAAACTTATTTTTAATGGTATAATATGTATGATATAATATATTTTATAATGATATAATAATCCTTTATCAATCTTTTAAATATTGTATAAGATATACATTTTTCATAACTTATAAATATTATTAAAAAATATTCTCTATATTTCATGTTCTATTGGTTATATTATAAAGAATAGGTTTTGTAAAAACAATATAAATATGTCATTACCAGTCGTAGAATACAATAGTATTGGTCAAATTTGATATCAATTTTTTATTTTAATATAGATATAGATTATATATATATATATATATATATATATATATATATATATGTGTGTGTATTGTATAATATAATGATTTTCCTTTAAAAATGTTTTATTATAATGTATCTGAAGAATTTATACATATATTTTAATTAAAATAAACCGAAATTCCTAATTGTGTATGTACTAATCATTTTCATAATTATTTTTAATGTATTAATTATATAATATAAATACAAATAAAAACTATTAGTAATCCCATGTATTGTAGTAGTATGTAATAATAATTTGTAGCCGTTTTATTAAATATTATAAGTTTAAACTCGATTATATTAATGATTTCATTGAATATAGTTAATTCTAATATAATTATCCGCTTGTAATTCTAATTTAAGATAACAATACCATTTCATTTAATTACATTTTATGCAATTTTATCATAATTATTATCCATTATGTAAATGTAGGTAATCATTCTTTGACTTTTTATCATTTTCTTTTTCTTTTGAAAATAATTGTTTATTTGTTTTTATATATCTTGATTACTAAGCAATTATGAATCACTCATCACTAAGTATGAAGTATTGAAATTTTGTTCGTAAATAAAAATTCAAATTTTAAATGAAACTTAGAACTTAACTTAGTAATACATGCTATATTGTATTATTTATTCCTAGAAAATTATATTATTAGTCTGTTTAATTAAAAATACATTATTTCATTTCTATAGAAGCAAATTATGTTTATTTAAACATTTAAAAAATTTGGAATTCTACTTTAATATTTTTTAATATAATTAAATTTAAATAATTTAAATATTAAGATAAATTATTTTAACTGGAATAGTTGAAGCCACATTATTTTCAGAGATAAATTAAAATATTTAGTTTTAATAGTTAAAAAATTACAGGTTCTAGTAACAATCGTAGTATTATTATTTACTATTATACATCAAGGTAAATCTTCATAAAAATATAAATTAAAAAAAATTATTAATTTGGGAATAAAATAAGTAATTTTCATTACGTATATATTATATATTAATTATTTATGTAATTAAATCTACATAATTTAAAAGTCTAAGCAACGGCGGGTATATGAATATATTCATTTTATTTATGAAAATTTGTATAAAATGCTTAATGAAATATACTGAATAAAATATAAAATCTTTATTTTATCTTTATTTTTTCAGCATATGTAATGTTATAGACTTATTTAAGAAATTTATTTTATAAAGAATTAAAAGTGAAATACCTTAATAGAAAATATTTTTGCTCAATTATTTTCTAGATAACTAGGTATTATGTAACTAATTGTATTGTAGATAATATTATCTATTTATTATTATGGTTACTATTATGCCTATTATTATTTTATGATATTTTTATTAGTTATGAATCGATGAGAACATTAAAATTAATGATTTAAGATCTTTTTACTTAAAGTAAAAGTGCTTGAATGTTTGTTATTATGCGCTTATAATTCCTTTTTTTAAGAAAAATCATGAATAAAAATTAATTCTGCACATGTAAAATAATATTTATATATAAAAACAATGTTTATATTGATGTAAATATGCATTATTCATGTGGGTGTATTGTAAATTGCTAAAATATATGTTATATAATTTTCAACTGCATATATATTATTGACAATTTTACTGTGATGTTATATATTATTAAATTTTTTCATTATAAAAAACGAATACAATGATAATAATTTTAGTAAATTAGAAAATTTTTAAAATAAATATTTAAAGATTTTATGAATAATTTTGTAATAATTAATTTATTTTCCATTAATTTATTTTCAATTTGAATTATACAAATATTTTGATAATTAATAAATCTAATAAAGACTTATAAATAATAAAAATACTAATCAATAAGTATAATTATTTAAACAATGTTTTTAAATTTTATAAAAAGAAAAAAATTTATATTATATTTATTAATTTTTTTGTTTTTTATATATATATTTTTTTAAATTCGTTTTGAAAAAAAATCAAAAATAATGATTAGTAGAGTAACATCGAAGTAGATCTTACGATATAAAGGCGTAGCATAACTATATACGTTTCAAATATATTATCCGTAAATAAAATGATGAGTAAGATAAATAGATTTAAATAGAAAGAAAATAAAAATGTATCTATATAAGAAAAATAAATATAACATTCAAAGGAGTATAATTTGTCATACAAATCTTATCACGCAATCACAGTAGCTTAAAAACAGCACTGATAGATTTATACAAATGTAAAATTAATTGACAGACAAGAATTCCATTTTTCGAAGGTATATCGGTGATGCGTGAGTTGAAGAAACATATGCGTGCAATGTGGGGTCACATAGTGGCATGCTCACACATTGAGCAACAAGGTTATCGGAGCGATTAAAGTGCTCCGAGACAGGAAAAAAAGTCGGACTACTAACGATGAGATTTGGTAGTTCGTCCAATGAACGTTAATGCAGTTACATGTTTGAAAACGTAGGCATCGTTTCATGAAGAGCGCTGTCCTGTTTTCATCTCTTGTATTCGAGATATCAATTGTTATCATAAAGTGTACCCATGTTACCGAAATTCGATTCTCTTACTGCTGTAGAAAACTTGAACATCATTTCATTAAATTTTCAGTAATTTATGTTAGTGAATAGTTAGTTATGAATCACCAAAGAGACAGATAAATAATAACTACATTAAATCAAAAGAAATTGTGAAATATTAAATTGAATCAGATTAAGTCAGTCTACCAAGGAAAGTAAGTACTGCATTAAAAACTAATATTTTATATTTTATGCCAAAGAATTAAAATATAGTGAAATCATGCCAGGATCGGGCGTGGAGAAAGTGAGAATGAAGGAATTAAAATGTGGTAGATCAATACATTTTACAACTAAACGTATTGGTATCCATAACTGGATTATTTGGTTTCTGAGTTTTCTAGCTATTTTCAGTTTAATTTTATTTGCTTTGTCTTGGTTGACAGACTTTTTTGGTCATGCCATAATCTCAAATTTACAATTACGCAATGGTAGCTTAAGTTTTACCTGGTGGCAAAGACCAGCAGTCCGTGCTGTTTATCGTGTACGCATATTTAACTACACAAATGTTGATGATTTTGAAACTGGAAAAGTAGAGAAGTTACGAGTTCAGGAGGTTGGACCTTATATTTATAGAGAGACTTTAACCAGAGTTAATCCATATCTAGGAAATAATGGTACGGTGACATATCAAGAAATGCGTAATTATCAATGGGAGGGTGGTAGTCCAGATGAAGAACTTGTTACTGTACCTAACATTCCCCTTTTCACAGCCATGGCTTTATCTAGAGACATGAGCTTTTTAGCCCAGGTTTCATTAACAGCTGTACTATCAACAATTCGAGCTAAACCTTTTATAAGAGTACCAGCAGGTAACTTTCTCTGGGGTTATGATGATGAACTTTTTCGTATAGCTAAACCCGTCATGGCTTGGCATCAAGGTATACCATATGAAAAGTTCGGGATACTTGCTTTCGTAAGTATATTACAGTAAGATACAATAAATAGCATACATATTTAACACATAACGAAGTATTATCAGTTTATTTAATTAATTATTTTGAACATTCTAAGTATATTTTAATTTTTCATAATTGTAAAATATTGATTATAAAAACTATAAATTAAAAGATTATACTATTAAACTATACTAGTAATATAAACTATACTAGACTATAGATTAAAAAAAATTGTCTTCATTATCTTCAAAAAGTAATAATCTTTATATAGTCGTCATATTATTTGCTATGCTTGTAGTATTAAGATTAATGTAATTGATATTAATACTCTTTGATTATAATAATAACTAAAGATAATAATAATATTTGAAGCGTCTTTTTCATGTTATAATAATTAATTTATAATTATTTATACTGCCTATATATAATAATTTATTTACCAAATCGATATTGGAAATTTTTTTATAAAAATGATAGTATTAAAAATAATAAGCAATAACATATACTATTATGTATTAATATACAAATTAAATTAATTAAAAAATTTATTTTATATAAAAATAATAATTTTGGTAGTTATAAAATAAAAACTGTACATATAGAACTTACAATCTAAAAAGATAAATAAAAAATCAAATAAAGATAAATTTATCCTTATTATTTTGATTAATTACTTATTATTACTTTTATTTACTTATTTTATAAATGTTATATTGTTTTACTTAACTTAAAAAAGATTAAGGAAAACCAAAATAATTGTCGATTTGTTTTTATACAAACTATTGTGTACGATCATAAATTAAAATTGGATAAATATTCATGTATCACAAATATTTATTTATTTTTATTTAAAATAATTCATATCAAAAGACTACAAATATTTTATTTACTTTAATGAAATTATAGTTGTTTTATATTTCTTAGATGTTATTTAAGTATGTTTAAAGAAATGACAAATTTCATTTTTATATAAAAAGGAACTAGTATTACTAGAAAATTATTAGAGACATTATAGACTATTATAATCACTTTTTTTACCGTTAAACTGTTAACATATTATATAAATAATTATGTTCATAGTTCAAAATGAATTATTTTCGTTTATTATGTAAATATTATTTTAACATTATGAATAATATTAATATTTATTTTAATTAATGTCATCTGTAAGTATCGAAATTATAATATATGTTTAAGATCGAGAATGAATTAAAAATTGAATTATGACATGAACATTGAATAAAATTATACATAAAGAACATGAATAAATTTGAGAAATTTGTATATTCTGAAAATCTCATAAAATTTGTAAGTAATAAATAAATTTCTTTAATTAGTCTGATTGATAATATTATTTATGAAAGTGTAATAAGAATTGTTAATGAATTTTATATAGTTAAATCTATAAATTTTAAAGACGTACAGCATTTGTATTTAGAAAGATATAAAGGTAACATGTAATATTCATACGTATATTATTTCTAATAATCGAATTTAAATATAGACATGGATTATATGAATCGATATAATTATGTATGTTGTGCATATTCATTTTTTTTTTTAAATATAAATGAATTCATGGTGTATTATTGATTGTAAATGTGTATTAATACAAAAATAAAAATATATTTATTCGTGTATAAATAGATTTAAATAGAATTTTTATTAATTAATTAACAGAAATCGATTATAAATGATTAGAAAAGATTATTTATAATGATTTATTATAAAAGTAAAGGACATAGAGTTAATTAAATTTAATATTTAAAATTACAAAACATTTCATTGTTTAATCATTTTTAGTAAAATATATCAATTGCAGATAATATTTATAATATTCATAAATGAAATCATTAATATATTTTTGAGAAATTTTGTTTTAATCTATAATTAAATTTATTCTATATTTTATTTTATATCTATAATAAATTTTTATTATACGTACATATATATATATATATATATATATATATATATATATATATTTATTTATTTATACTTTTTTTTTCATAGAAAGCTGGACTCTCCAAAGATCGAATGACAATTAATACTGGAACTAAGGATTTGAAAAATCTCGGTAATACCATTGGATTTAATGGAATGGAAAGCAGAAATATTTGGCATGACAAAAGTTGTGATAAAATAGAAGGTTCGGACGGTAGTATGTTCCCTCCACAACTAGTATGGAATCGTAATTATACTCTTAAAGTTTATGCAAAAGAAATGTGTAGACCTATTCCTCTTCAGTATTATAGCGAAAGTCGAGCAAAGGGAATACCTACATTACGGTAAAATAAATTATACTATGTTAAATATGAACATTAATTAGTTTAAACACACTATATTAACAACGTGATAATTATTTTCCAATTATTGATTTTTAAAAATATTTTATTTTAATAAATAATGTATAAACAAAACTACATAAAATTAAAAATAAAGTATATAAGCGTTACTAATATTTTAATAAAATATTAAGTTAATAGAATAAATAATTTAAAAACAATTTATAAACTAATTGTTATTTACTCAATTAAAAAACTCATCATATACACTTAATTATATGTGGCTTAATAATTGGTTTGGTTAGTTTATTTATTTATTTATATTTATATTTAATTTATTTTATATTTCTGTACAAATGATATTTTAAAGTTTGTAATTGTATGTAATTGTACAAAGCTTTTATCTTAAGTTATTCATTATTAAAATAATTTTATGTACTAAATGTTTTCCTTCAACAGGAAGATTTTAATATTATTTCATATAAATTTACAAAATTAATTTCCTGATTGATATCATTGCCTTTATATTTTTTGCAAAGTATTATTAACAATAACTTAGCACCACCAAGTAATTGCTTATGAGATGATTGTATATATTTAATTATTGGTTCGAGTTTGTTATACCACATTTTTAATCTATTTCACTAAATGATATCTTGAATTGATATCTTTTTTTTTTAAATTGAAAATCTTATGTGTGTTCCTCAGTAAAATTCGATTTATAAACGATAAGAAAGATTTTTATTCAGTTTTATTTTTATAATAAATAACCAACTAATTAAACAATGATAGAATTTCTTTTAAAAATAAAAATAAATACAATTATTTCTAATAAACCTTTATAACTCTAATTTAGCTTTACATTTTCTAATAATTAGTAATAATAAATTAATTCATAGTTATTTAATAAAATAAGATGAAAGAAAAAAATATTTATTATTATTTATCTTAAACGTCTTAAAATCTTATGTTTAATAATATAAAAGAAGTAATATAGTTGAATTTGTATATTTATTAAGTTACAAGCTTCCGGAGGATGTTTTTACTACAAGTTCAACACATAACTCATGCTTTTGTCAAAAGCATACAGATGATTTTGGTAATGCAACTTATATTTGTGCACCTAAAGGATTATTCAATACATCAGCTTGTAATTTTGGAGCACCTATGCTTTCATCTTTCCCACATTTTTATCAGGCTGATAAATCACTTCTAAAATATGTTGATGGTATGAAACCTAAACAAGAACTCCATGATTCTTACATTGATTTACATCCTGTAAGTTACACAATATAACTTTTATTAATATTAAGATTAAATTTTATTGAATTGATTGGCACTACAAAATTGAATTTTATTTTGTAGTCTATTTATTTAGCTATTCAAATATTAAAATTTGATTGTATTTATTGAACAAATTTAAATTATGAAAAAAGATAACATCCTTTGCAAATTAGGTTATTTTTGCAAAATATAAATTTTAAACAAAACTAACTTTATGTATTTTAAATGAACAAATTTATTTATTATTTATTTATAAATACTAAATTATTATTATTTATTAAAATAAATATTTAATTTGATAATAAAACTTTATGATTATAAAATAATTATCTAAATAAGAGATACAAATTTTTTTTTGAACTACATATGTATGTAAGATAATTATTTAGAAATTATTTAGAAATTATTTAAAAATTATTTAGATAAATATTTATATTTTAATATATTTATATCATATTTTGTATAAATACATATGAGTAAAATATATTGTTCTATAATCTTACTTTTTGTAATACTTGAACATAAAAGATTGTAATTAAATTCTTATTATTAGATTTTATTTTAAACATTATTTTAAACAAGTAATTTATTGTAAACCTTTATATATAATAAAAAGTAATACAATAGGTATAGTAAGTAAATTATTTACAAAAAGTCATAAATACTTTGCTATTTTTTCCAATCTAGCAATAGATAAATAAAATAGTCATTAATATCACATAGATATTTCGTATTTATTCTATTAATTCATGAATTAACATTTGATTTTTCATCAGATTACTTTGCAATGTGTTCTACAAAGTCAATATCAACCATTTGGTTAAGTTAATTTTTTAAGTAAATAAAGGAGCATTGTAGGGCAAGTTTGTAGAACTTTAGTAATTAAGTAGTCACATTTGATTTTTTTTTGGAAAAAATAAACTGAACGAATTAAAAGTTATGCGGATATTGACTTTCAGAGATAGTTATATATTATCTGCGGTATAAGATAATAAAATTATTTCTGTGGCAGTTAAATATAAAGAAGGATATGAAATTTACGTTATTAAATTCAGCAGTTAAACAAAATAAATTAAAAATAATTTCAAAGTAAGAATTTATAACACACTACAAATATAGAAATTGAATGAAAACTAAATTCAATTAAAATTTCAAACATTTTGAATTTAAATTTAAAATTTATTTTTTATGTTGTTATTTATATGGGCATTATTTATAATAACGTAAAAATCAATTGTTAAAAATTTGATAATTATACGAAGATTCAAAATAATGTAATTACTTTTCCAAGTTAAATTAACAAAATAACAATTTTGTTGTATGTTATACTTTCTTATACAAGTTTTTTTATTTAACGCTTTAATCAGAGTTTACTTTTATTAATTATATTTATAATTATAATTAATTAATTATAAGATTATAACAAGTTGTTTCAGGTTATATTTCTCAAAAATTTGTTAGGGTATAATTGAAGATCAGAGTTTTACTGATCTGGTTCAAATTAACATGAAGTGAAACGTAAAATTAATGAACAAATTCAAAATTTAATCAATTTTATATTAACATATATTATTTTTATTTAATATTATACAATCACACAATTCATATCATCCATATTTATATTAGGTTTTCGAATAAAATAAACAATCTGTATTACCAAACGGAAATAATTTTTATCTGATGGAATTATTTATAATTATTTTAGAAAATAAATAAGAGTATTTTATCATTAAAAAATTAGAATAAATATTGTATTTTCATATAAAATATTTGTGACAACTGTGTTCTTATTTTTATAGCGTCTAGGTGTACCAATTGGAGGCTGGTCTCGAGTGCAAATAAACATGGAGGCACGTAAAGCCGATGCCGTACCTTTTATGGGTCATTTACAGGATGGAACAATTTTGCCAATTCTGTGGATTGAAATCGGCATAGACGAAATACCAGAATCGGTGATGAATATCCTTTATCACGCATATTACACGGTCAATACTATTGAAGCCTGCTTGCATTGGGGAAGTTTGTTGGGGGTTATGTTGTCCATAGTAATTTTAGGTTACATTTTAAAAGCACGTCACACTGATGAACATACAGTGCTACACAGAAATGTATCTGGTCAGGATCCCCTTCTTGAAGCAGTTGCGTAAAATTCAGCCTTTTTCATATTTCCATAACACTGATTGTTTCAGTCTATTGCGTTACTTATTTTATTGCATGTTTTGCTAAACATAATTTTTGTATCTTATTTATTTATTTTTGTTAAAGATCTATATCTATATATATATATATATATCTATATATATATATATATATATATATATATATATATATATATATATATATATATATGTGTGTGTATAATTATAAAGCAATGAATATATATACATGATTAAGTTTATGTGCAACAATGGTTTCGCATTTATCGACGTATTAAATTACGTTTTAGTAATTGTAAATATTATAATTGATTACAATATTTAAGATAGCAGTTTTAATAAGCTTATCACTATACATCAGATTAACATTTATTTTTATATATAAATTAATTGATTTATTTTAACCATTAAATTGCATTAGAAAGTAGAGTTTTTAATCTTTTACAAATTCATACAAGATTATTAAATATTTATACGAAGACTGTATTATATAATATTTGTTATAAAAAATATCGGTTTTCATACTAATATATGATCATTTCAGTTTTCATGTAAATATAATTTTCCGTATATACATTTAAATATTTTTTAGAAATAAATAGTATTTTTACACACAAATGATTTAATTTAATTTAAATTGATGCTTATATTTTTAAAAGTTTTTTAAAAGTCAATTTTTTTAGTAGTTATTTCAAGTTTCAAGTTTTAATAATTTCAAGTAATTATTGATTCATTTTAGATTTAATTCATTTTTTAGAATTTTTATTATATTATAAAGATAAAGATTTTATTATATTTCACATATAAAGATAAATATATTAAAAACTAAAAAAAAATGTTTTTGATATTATATTTATAAACATAAAAAATTCAAAATTATAATTTAGTATAAATAAAATAGTATGGTGAGATATCATAATTTCAACAACAATAATAATTATAATAATTCTTTTACAGACAGTTTCAAGAACAAAAAATTTACTGATTAAATTATGGAGCTTACAGCTAACTGAATTATATTTAATTCTTAATATCATTAACGGAACTGAATTAAAGATAATATATTTAAAAGAATATATATATTTGTATAATCCCTTTTATAGCAGATATTAATAATTAAAAAATTCTCAAATTAATATTTAATTTAATAGAAATTAAAATTGTTCTTTATTTTTCATAAAAAATGAAATAATTTTGATTATTATTAGCTTTCTATGTTTAATTGTATACATTTTATTGTATGGAATATTTATTATAAATAAATAATATATTTAAATATTTCTCTCTCTCTCTCTCTCTCTCTCTCCTTTTGTCTATATTTGTAAAAATCATTCTCACCTATACTATACATAAATTATATTATCATATCATTAGTAATTTATTATATGGTATTTTATTAAGTACAATATATGAAATCATATATATTTAAATTTTTTTATTCTCCACTTACATAATTTAAGTATATAGTCATACAAGTAAAAATGTATAATAAGAGAACTTTTCACAATTGCTTCGGATAAATATTGTTTAAAGATATAAAACCTTCTTAAACAGGATATAATAAATTATTATCTCTGCTTAGTTGCTTTGATTTGGATAATAAATTTTTGGAAGTGGAAGCGGTAGCGCATTAATTCAATATTTAATAACTCTGCTTTTCGTGCTGTTTATTGCGTTTTACTTTACAAATTACATTATAATGATTCTAAGTTGGTGATGAGAATCGTTGAGATCTTAAAGTTCCTTGGCAGTTGCCACGTAGCCTTAGCATGCACTATATGCAGAGGAGGAGGTCGAAAATCTTCGGATTCTCTTGACATAATGTGCTTGGTGATAGATTATTACACTGAGATGTAAGAGGCCTTAAATCTCTTGACACTTCTTCGTGTAGTGCCACGTGATACTAACTTGATTGTAGTTTCCTCCTTTTTCCTCCAAATTTCAGAAAGTCTGCGATTGCTCCGTGTGCTTGGGGTACGAGCGTCTCTGCGTAGTGACTCTCCAGTAGTGGATCTACAGAGTGTGTGTGCTTGGTGGCACGTAGTGTGAGCTTGCCTGCGACTGCATCGTACGCTTGGGGCACGAACGTCTCTATATTGTCTCTGCAGTAGTGGATCAGCAGAGTGTGTGCGCTTGGGACACGAGCGTCTCTGTTAAGTATAAAGCTTTGCTGTACGTTTCGTAGCGGTTTTGATCCTTGAAGTGTACTCGTTGATACTGGATCCTTGAGAAACTCTAGTAAAGAATAGGTGATTGTTGCACCTAGTATGAGACAGTGCGCGTCGACGCTGAATCTGTAAGGTGATTAAGATAATTTGAGCGGTTATGCAGTGGCACACGGTAACTTGGCTTCCAGCTCTGCTGAGGGAGCTTCCTTTTTCCTTCTTCTTCCTTGAGGACTACAGCTTGAGTGTACGTTCATCCTCCGCAGCGTCGCCCGTAAGAGAGAGCGCTTCTTCCATAGCTTCAGTTAAGACATACCGTCTTCTGCGGCGTCCCGCGTAAGAGAGAAGACTTCTTCTATCCTGGAGGACCCACTAGTTAGTGCTTGAGTCTTGTGAGTTAGTAAGCGAGTTTGTTTTGTGGTCATGTTCCTTAAATGCATTCCGCTGACCAAGGCGTCCACTTAAGGAACGTCTGTTTCTTTGCCGTCTCCAATCAGAGCGCTTCTTGCTTCGGCAGCTGTACTTGGAGCTCCTTTAGAGTTAATTTTGTATAAACGTTGATATTAAACTATATTGTATTATTATATATTAGCGTTGGAGAGTGAAAAGAAAATCTCTCGAATTATATTCATTAGGAAAATTCAACGGCTATTGTAAAAAAGAATTGTCGAACAGACATAAAATCTAAGAAAGTCTCGCCAAGGTTGCTGGAGACTTGAAAAGGTTTGTACATCTGGAACATTCGTAAACAGCCACTTTATTGCTCTTCGCACTGCAGACGTAGTAATTGTTTTGAATGCAATAAACGACCCTTGCGACTTAACATCAAACCCGACTTAACTGTTTATATGAGTATATTTTTGAGGATTAAAATATTTGAAAACAATTGAGTGAAAAACACTTCTTGAAATTCATTGCAATCCGAAACTCAGCACGTACGACGCTTGACAATCTGCATCGCACGTGCGGCTATAATATTAATATAATACCATGTATTGTTGTCAAGTACGCCAAATTTTGCTGCTTGCATCGGCTAGGCGAAGATGCTTGACCAAGAATCCACCCCCACCACGATGAGGCCCGGAGAGGGGCAAATCCTCGACTTTAGACGT